ATGCGAAAATGAATATTGCTTTTGGAATGCTAGAGGCAATATTTTACCTTCCCTTTCAAGTGCATCTCTACTGTGTACATTCTCAGGTATCCATGTGGAAATAAGTGCTTTGTTAGAGCTTAAGGAGAATACTGCAACATCTTTGTGTAATTTGAAAGTTGATGCACTGAATTCAATGCATGCATTAAGGCCTACTTCTCACTGAGTTGGTAAACCTGCCTTTGGACTGCACCACTTCAGAAGCTGGCGTGACCTGGTCCATGGGGTCGCGAGAAGTCGGACTCGACTGTGCGACTGAACAACAACAACTTCAGAAGCTTCTCCTTCATACAAACAATAATAAAAACAACACGAACAATACTTGGACATGGAAAATTAGGTGTTAACTAGAAGAGCTCTAGCCTAACCAGCTCCACAATGACTAATTTTATAAGTGCAGACAATACTTCCATCACGGAGCCTCTGCCTGCAGTCTGAAGTAACATGGCTCAAACTCGGGTTTACTGTCTCTGTGAGGACTAGGGTATGAATGATTTGAAAAAGTACACAAAATCAGGGCAGTCCTAAAACTTGTCCATGATTAAAGCTTTGGGTCATCTACCTGATCGTCTACAGAAATAGGACAATATGCACAATAGAATCACCCACAGCTACAATTTAGAGTTCTTCAAACCCAAGGGAACACCCAGGTTTGTAAAAAAAAATAATAATAATCTGACTTAAAAACCACCTTAATTCTGGAGGGACCCTCCCCCCCCAACTTAATAGCAACATTTGTGCATTGCAGACATTTAAAAAAAAACCTCTGGAGTTTAGGCAACTTCCTGGGTTGCCATAACAACACAAAATTGTACACACACTCTTTGGTTGCAGGCAGAAGGCAGCAATGGAGGTGGGGGGGGGGAAGAACACTATGGTGGATTGGAAGGGGAGAGCTGGGGGGAGTCATGGGGAAGCTGGAACCGACAACCAGGCTGGAGGGGGATAGATTTCTCCTTCCCTCATGAATCTTCCCTTGCTCGATTTTTTGTTCGGGATTGTTACAGGCAATATTTTTAATACAGCTGTGACAGTATGTATTAAATCTAACAGTGATATGTACAAAACAGCCATGAGGCAGCTGAGCACTGGGTGAGGCGGCCCAACTGCTGGGATAAGATACACAGTTCCCTTCTCCTTACCCCCCTCCTCTTCTTATGTCGTTAACTGCAAGTTTTTACTTACCCAAGGTGCTCAGCAGACTGTCTAATATTCAGCACACACAACCCCCCCTGATGTAGGAATATCACTGTGAAGACTTCTCCCGCTATCATGCACAATCGATTTATATCACTGCTCTTGGAAATCTGGATCTTTTGGTTCTCATCTCCGGCGACCAATAATACTCGGATATTTTTTTTTGCCAGCCAGGGATAACCGGGGCTCATTCATAGAACGTAGCCTCTTGTTCTATACAGGCATTTAAATGACATCAAACAGAACTGACTGACAAAGGGATTTGAGAATTCTCTCCCAAATGTGTTCTGAGGCTGCTGCTAGCACGCAAGCCAAACTTTTCTCCTTTATGGAAGCTTAAACCAAATAAGCAGCCTGCATATTGTTAAAGCCAGCACCCTCCACTTGCCTAACTCCATTTTCCAGTGGCCTTTCACAAAAACAGTATTTTTTCCGTTGAAAAAAAGGTTACTGCTTTGTAAGAAAACTGGTCTTTTAGAGAGAGACGAAGCAGAACTGCTACCATTAGTGGTTTCTGATGCATTTTATTCATATGGCACACACAATGGTTCAAGGGACAAATAGGAGATGACACTTCCAAAAAGATAAGGAGCAATCACTGATAAGGTTGATCAGACACAGCTGTTTCAATCATACACCTCCTCTGCAGCAGGAAAAGCCCCACCATTATATCTTAAGCTGCAGGTTCTGGGATTGGTATTCATAAGCATTTGATCACTTCCACTTGCAGACTATACTTATGACCTTGACTGTGGTGTTGACAGTGCAGGATGAGTTGAACACAGAAAATTAGGCTAAGCCTGCAATGCAAAAGCTGGAAGAACACCACCACTACAGAACAATAATCAGATCAGAACAGAGATTTAAAGTGCGAACAAATGCTGATTGTTCTCCCATCACTTACTAGATCACAGTGTGGGAGGCATTTGAACCTGTGCAGTGTAGCCGGTGCTTAAATTTGCCATGCGGTGGGCCCAGGAGTTCCAGCGACAAGGTAAGACAATGATATTCTTCGGTGGGATCAGATGGCACAAACCTACTCACCTGACTATCTTCCTTTCAAACCCAGTTTTGCAAGTCTTGGGAGATGACACCACTTTGGCGCTTTAGCCAATGAAGCCTAGGGGCTGGATCTTCGTGTCACTCATATGACCAGCCAATATTGAAGTTAGCCAGTTCTTTCCTATCTATTGCCTACTGAAGGCAAATGGACCACCGGGAAGAGCCATTTCAAGGTAAGTACCAGAACAAAAATGTGCCTTAACGTCATCTATTAATTGGGCACTTGTCTGGAAGGAAGTGCAGAGTAGTTGAAAAGACAAACTACAGCTGTTTCCTGCTGGCAGGTAACTCATCAGTTGCCAGCCACATAAATCACATTTACATAAATAGAGCTCACAATTTTATAAATAGTTGAAGTCTCAAAAATGTAACCACGTGATCAAGGGCAGTTATGGGTTTGGTCCAGATGACAACCCCCCCCCCCCCAAGTAGGCTGGCAGTAGGGCTTCTGAACATGAGAACAGTCAAACATTATCTTTCAAAAAATTCTAAATAAAAATATGTGTAAACACGATGCTCATCACAAGGTATATTTTAGATACTTAAAACAACCTCGACCTCTTGGTAACCCAAACTCCCTTTTCAATTACACAACAGACATCCTTGGCATCTAATTCACTGTTTCCTCTGACTAGTAATGAAATAAATGCCTCTCAAGCAAGGAGAGGAACAGGTAGTTATTTGGAGATATGGGGTCAACAAGTTTCTCCCAAAGGCAGAAATGTCTGTCTGGGCAGTGGGAAAGCATTGTAAGGAAGTTTCAAACAGAATTCCATATCAATGGTTTCAAGTCTGAGTTTTAGCTATTATGTCTCTCAAGTAACTGGGGGTAAGATTCAGAGGGTGACTCCAACGCCCAAGATTTCCCCCCACTCTGCCCAGCTACCACGCAGCTCAGGTAGGCTTATTTTGGGATGGATCCAGTAGTTTTGCTTCTGCTTTCTCCTGGCTTGGACTACCTTTGAGCAGATGCATAACTAGAGTATCTTAAATATATGCAAGTGTGTGTATGTACTGTGTGGGGGTACTACTCCTTACAATTAGGAATTGTCTGGACCATTAAATTAAGGCAGGTGATACTTCTCAAAGCCTTAAAACACTGTGGACTAATACGCTGCACCAGGCTTGGCCCTGGCCTGCTCTCTAAGACCAAAGACTAGCCCCAATTCCTCACCTTCTCTCCGTGCAATAAAAACATGCTCTACAGCAGCAAGGAACTGAGGGGGGGGGGAGGAAAGGCATTGGTATTTCACCCAATCAAGCCCATTGCCTTTGCACTGACAGTACCAACGGCGCCACCAACCGAAGCTTTATAGCTGGGCGTGAGCCAGTGGACAGTGTCCAGTTGACAGCCATATCGGAAGATTCGCCATCTTTTAATATAAGTTGTATGGTTTTATATCGATTGATAGTTTTAATGGAATTTTAATGTATTTTTATATATGTTGTTAGCCGCCCTGAGCCTCCCGAATGGCAGGGAGGGCGGGATATAAATGTAAATATAAATAAATAAATAAATAAACCACCCCATAGCAATACTGAAGGAGCATTTGTTTACTTAGATCTCACTTTCCTTGTAAATGGGAATCCGAAGAGACTTACAGTATTTCCTCCTTTTCCATTTTATCCTCACAGCATTTTATCCTCCTGTCCACGAACAGATGCCTAAGCCTGCACCTTCACCTAAAAGTGGCATTTTCCCCTCTCAATAGATACAGTCTCAAAACCCTAACCCTTCTGTATTATTTCCTCTGTATCAATTTGGCATCATTAGTGAGGTTCAACAGCACATAGTTTTTAGTGCAGATTCGGGAGCATTAGAATTAGTCAACTATCAGTTGGATCTCTCCAAGACAGTGAATGCAGACTAGGAAAAGAACAAAAACATGTCAACTGGATCGAGGTCACCTACATCTTGACTAAGGAAAATGATACAACTACTAACCGATGACAGGAACAATGCTTGGTTGGAACAGATCTCTCTGATACAAGCTCATGTTGATATCAAATAGTCTTGTTTCGTTTAAGGTAATCAATGCACCACTTATACTCATGTTTAGTAATTTCTAGTAGACTTGTTTGCAAGGCTGGGATCATCTATCACTGGCGTGTAACCCTGCGTGCAAGAGTTCATTTTAAATTGAACCAGGTGTTTCATTTCTATGGAGCATTCCATGCCAAACAAACAAATTTGGGTAGCATATCACAGCTGTGGATTTAGCAAAAATTTTGCAGTTATTTACATGTGCAGGAAGTAGGCAAAATTTCAACAACGATTCAAAAGGGCAGAGGTTATCAAGGCGCCGGTACATAAATTTTTTAAAAAGCAATTTAAAGGGCACTCCTGAGCAGAACTACACCCTTCAATAGACTCAGAAGGATGTACTTCTGCTTAGGATGGCACAATGAGATAGCTAGCTGCTTTGGTTAGTCCAGACTCAGATTCTAAGAGTCCATCTGTCTAGATCAGCACCTTGCCACAAGATGAGACGATTTCATTTCACATATCCAAGAAGTTCAAGTCAAGCGGACAGAACTAGTACAGCAGTTATCATGCAGTTTTAAAATACATATAGAGTAAAACAGATTTATAGCAAACATGTGAACATATCCTTTGGGATTCTGAATTGGTTCAAGCACACTTTTTACCATACTCTGTAACTGTTTGTTCAGTTTCAGATCCAATCTAGTGAGTTCCTTACCCTCAAGTCTATCACTCTGTTGTCCAATCTCGTATCCTGGTTTACTGTCGCTCTTCCTTCCTGAACAGTTGCAAAAGAACACAACAATGAAAACCACACTTATTTTTTTTAAAATGATGTTCATGTAGCAGAAGAAATCAGATGACTTTTTGCATTGGGTTTGCCGCCCACACCAAAGATTTCTGATGCTCGAGACACAGACACCTGCTAGGCGTCTTGCACAGTTTGAAAAAGCAACCTGACTGCACACAGGGGGTGGGACATGCTATGTGGTTTGTGTATCATGTTGTCTTCACTAAGGATGTTTCTGAACAGGGGCTTTCTGTGCCCCAGGTTTGAAGCTTTAGCACAAAATTTGTAGTACAAGGTGCTAATTAAAGAAAGAGCACGTGTTAAGATGGGCCAACCATCCTCCTTTGCAAAAGACGTGAGATCAGCTTAACCAACTGACATGGACCAAATGGTTCCTTAAGAATACGTGCACACCTCTTTATTTGTTCCAAGGGTTGATGGGACAATCTTCATTGCCTTTCTGCCCCCTGGAACTGTGTTTTCCTTGCTTCCTCCCTTCCTTTTTTACCTTATCACCTAAGGCAGGCAGATTAAGAGTGAGAAACTTGTATCTGCTTGGTTTCGGTACAAGGTTATGTTTGGCGAAACTGCAATAGCCCTTTCCTCACAACCACCAAGTTTGGAAATCTCTGACTTGCTTTCCTAAAGCACTTATTATGAACTGTGCGTCACCTTCAACAGGACTCTGCACAGATTCATAATGTACACAGGAGAATTGTATCCAAACTTGTGTTTACCCTACCACCAAAGACAGAACGGCAACTGTGAAGTCAAACCATCCTTAGAAGACAGAAACCTCAAAACTATGAAACGTGCTTGTTAAGTATTTGTGCATGAAGTTTTCAAGCTAGTCAAGGATACAGGTGAGAGCATCACTAGGCTCCTAAGTACCATGAGCAAATCCACTCATGAAACAAGGTATTCCTCCCTCCCTCCGCCTGTTGTGAATCCAGGCTTGGGTGTTCCCTAACATCAAGGAGAGAAGGAGTCATGGTTCAGTGGCAGAGCACTTGCTTTGCATGCAGAAGGCTCCAGGTTCAATCCCTAGCACCACCATTCTTTAAAAAAGGATCTGGCTGCTGGTGATGTGAAAGACCTCTACCTGAGGCTCTAGAGAACAAACAGCACACTGATCTTAACAAATGGCTGGTCTGGCTCAGCATAAGGCAGTTTTATGCATGCTCATGTGTTCACGCATCATTTTCTAGATCTATGTACGGAAAGCACTAATGAGAAAGCATGTGATTCTGGACAAAACTAGAAAGATTAATTCAGGGCCATATACAAAGTATGTAATGCAGTAGCTACTATCTGTTTTATATGGGCGTTGCCCCTTTTAAGCTGCCCTGAGCCCGCTCTGTGGGGAGGGCGGGGTATAAATCTCAATAAATAAATAAATAAATAAATAAAATTGAAATTCCTTGCTTCACCATTTACTTCCTTAAAACACACATAAAAGGTAAAGGTTCCCTTGCTCGAAAGCCAGTCGAATCCGACTCTAGAGTTGTGGTGCTCATCTCCGTTTCAAAGCCGAAGAACCAGCGCTGTCCGAAGACGTTTCCGTGGTCATGTGGCCGGCATGACTAAACACCAAGGCGCACGGAACGCTGTTACCTTCCCACCGAAGTGGTACCTATTTATCTACTTGCAATTTCTTGCTTTCGAACTGCTAGGTTGGCAGGAGCTGGAACTAGAGACGGGAGCTCACACCGTCATGCGGCAACTCGGGTCTCGAACTGCTGAAACAC